CCAGTCTAAGTGATTTAGAGATTATCTACATCGCTGCTCCACTTGTTGGCATGGCTAATGTGGATTTGGCAATAATTATAAGTACAGTAATAATATGATGTCTGCTGATGAGTTTAGAGACTGAAAGATGCCTTCAACATTATTTAAAACAATGTCTTCTAAGTTCTAAGATTTGGGTAGTTCTTTACTCCGTACAGGGAGGGAGATAAAGATGAATAATTGAGAAATGGTCCCTGCACTCAAGAAACATTATCTCAATGAGAGAAACTGCCATACACTCACACACTACTGTATGGGATGTATTGTAGTAGCACCTTATAAATAGCCATGAGACACTGTGAGAAATCATCTCAGAAGATAAGCCCCTCGGGTCAGAAGACATTCAAAACATGACTGAGATCAAGAGCTGCCTTCTAAAAGGAGAGTTGGCCCTAACGACATAAAGTAAAGCCTTCAGGGGTAAAAGTTTGGGGCCCTTCATTTGCTGATGTAACACAGCCAAACGAGAACACCAGCTATAAATATATATGACTAATGTACAAAGTATGAATCTAGGGAAATTGGAAGTTGTCAATAATGGAACATATCAAGATCATTACCCCCAGGCATCAGTAAGCTGAAATGGACCGGTTTGGGCCATGTAATCAGGCAGTCGTAGAGCTTACTATGCTGGGAATGATAGAATGAAGAAGAATGGTATTGCACTGATCATCAGAAAGGGCATTTTGAGATCTTGAAGTACAATGCGGTCTGTGATAGGGTAATATCTATCCATATACAAGGAAATGTAGTCAATACAACTATTCAAATTTATACACCAACCAAAAAAAGCCAGTGGTGCAGAAACTGAAAATTTTTACCAACATCTTCAGTCTGAAATTGATTTTTTTTAAATAAGTCAAGATGCATTGATAACTATGGACAGTTGGGATGCAGAAGTTGGAAACAAAGCAGAAAGAACAGTATGGTCTTGGTGTTAGAAACAAAGTTGGAGATAGTATGAAAGAATTTTGCAAAACCAATGACTTCATCACAAATACTTTTTTCAAACACAAATGGCAAGTATACACATGGACTTCTCTACATGGAATACACAGAAATCAAACTGACTACATCTGTGGAAAGAGAATATGGAGAAGCTTAATATCAGGAGCTAAAACCAATCCAGAGACTGACTGTGGAACAGACCATCAATTGCTCATATGTGAGCTCAAGTTGATGCTGAAGAAAATCAAAACAAGTCCACAAGAGTGAAATATAACCTTGAGTCTATCCCACCTGAATTTCTAGAATAGCTCAAGAACAGATTTGACACATTGACACGAATGAGAGAATATTGGATGTGCTATGGGAGGGCATCATACATGAAGGGTCATTAAATCAAAGGGTCATTAAAAAGCAGGAAAGAAAGAAAAGATCAAAGTGGATGTCAGAAGAGACTCTCAAACTTTTGATCATAGAGTAGCTGAGACAAAGGTAAGAAACTGATGTCAAAGGGCTGACTGAAAATTACAAAGGGCTGCTCAAGAAGAGCAAGGTAAAATATTATAATGAAAGGTGGAAAGACCTACAGCTAGAAAACTCAGAAAGGAAGAACATGCTCAGCATATTTTAAACTGAAAAACTGAAAGGAAAAAAATCAAGTTTCAAGATGCAGTATTGAGAGATTCTACAGGCAAAATAGTGGATGATGCAGAAAGCATCAAAGGAAGATGAGGAAAATACACAAAGTCACTCTGCCTGAAAGAACTAGTTGACATTCAATCATTTCAAAAGGTAGAATATGATCAAAAATGAATGGTACAGAAGGAACAAGTCCAAGTTTCACGGAACGCATTGGCCAAAAACAAGGTTAGAGTAATTGATGAAATATCAATTAAAATGTTCCATCAAGCTAATGAAGCATTGGAAGCACTCACTCATCTAAACTAAGAAACTTGGAAGACTGACAGGGAGCTGTCAGAGGCTCAGGCCAGATTCAGAAGAGGACACGGAACACCGCTGATGTCAGAAGGATCCTGGTTGAAAGCAGAGAATACCGAAAAAACGTGTTTGCATTTCATTGATTATGCAAAGGCATTCAACTGTGTGGATAACAACGAGCTATGAATAACCTTGAGGAGCATGGGAATTCCAGAACAGTTAATTGTGCTCATTCAGAAACCGTACATGATCAAGAGTTGGTTGTACAAATAAAACAAGGAAATACTGCATGGTTTAAAATCAAGAAGAGTGTGCATCAGGGCTGTATTCTCTCGCGGCGGTTCCATCTGTATGCAGAGCAGATCATCAGAAGCTGGGTTACATGAAGAAGAATTCAGTATCAGGATGTAAGCTTATTAACAACTTGTGACATGCAGATGACACAACCTTGCCAGCCACTTGTTGATGAGATCAAGGATTGCAGTCTTCAGTCTGGATTACAACGCTAAAGAAAACTAAAATTCTCACAACTGGGCAGATGAGTCACATCACGATAAGCAGAGGGAAAAAATAAATGAAGTTGTCAATGATTTGTTCCTGCTTGGAGCCCCCACCAGTACTCATGGGAGCAGCAGTCAAGAACTCAAAGGATGCATTTCATTAAGTAAATCTGCTGCCCAAGACCTCTTAAGAATATTGAAGCACAAGGATGTTACTTTGAGGACTAAGTGTACCTCAACCAAGCCATGTATGCGTGTAAAAGTTGGACATTGAAACAGGAAGCGTGAAGAGGAATTGTTGCATTTGAATTATGATGCTGGCAAAGAATACTGAATGTGCTATGGACTGCCAAAGAACAAACAAATCTGTCTTGGAAGACGGAGTCAGAATACTCCTTAGAAGCAAGGATGGTGAAGGTTCCTTTCACCACATCTCACATATTTAGGACATGTAACCAGGAGAGACATGTCCCTAAAAAAATGCATCATGCTTGGTAAAGTGGAGGGCCAATGTCAAAGAAGACGATCTCCAACAAGATGGATTGACACTGACTGCAACACTGGGCTCAAACATAAGAATTGTGAGGATGGTACAGGACTGGGCAGTGTTCTCTTGTGCCATCCATATAGTTTCCCTGCGTAGGAACTGCCTTGCCAGCACCTAACACCACCACCATTGTAGTAAGTACTTAGAGTGGCTAGGAGAAGAAGTGACCAAAGCAACCTTCGGAGTTACGCGAATAACGTTTAGTAGAGAAGAGGTTCATAAAGGCTTTGAAGGTGGTGGTAAGTCCCTGAGCTGAAGGTACAAGAGAGATCTTGGGCTAAGGGGAAGGCTGTACAGAGACGTAGGAATGAAGAGGCGGATGCTGTATTTGTGAGGTTCCAGGGGCTGTTTCAAGTGATTCGAGAGGCCAACAGGGAAGAAAAGGTCATATGTGACCTTCATATGGCAAAGTATTTTGGGGTGGGATCAAACCATGGAGGGTCTCAAATGCCCTTCTAAAGATTTTCATCACATTCAAGAGGCAGTGTTCTTCAGGGAGTAGCTTGGGTTAGCAAATGTTAGATAAACCTGGTAAGATTTAAATTGTGTTCCAGAAACCTGTCTTGGTATCTTCTCTCTCTCACCACCAAGTCAATGTTGACTCATAGCGGCTCCCCTGTGGATTTCCAAGACTGTAACTGTTTACAGGAGTAGAAAGCCCAGATTTTCTCCCACGGAGCTGCTGCTGCTTGTGAACTTCTGACCAAGCGGTTCATAGACCAACACATAACCACCACACCACCAGGGCTGCTGCCCTTGGGACCTCAACCCCTGTATCTGTAGATGTGATCTCTTTTAGAATCAGGTCTTCCTTGCTTTGTTAATGAGGCCATGTCAGTGTAGGGTGTGTCTTAAACCTAATGACTTTGGAGACATAAAAAAAGGCATATAAGTTTCATGTTTTTCAGTTTATGAGATCCAAGATAGGTAAGTCTATGGAGACGGTAATTAGACTAATCATCCCTTGGGTGTATGGCAGGGGAGGCTGTGAAGAAAGGGGAGCTAAGAATGATGAATACAAGAATGAAGAAAATGTTCTAAAATTGATTGCGGTGATGAGTGTACAGCTCTTCTTGATGTGACTGAATTATTGAATGGTATGATATGTGAATTATATGGCAATAAACTGTTTTTTATAGGCATATTATTTGTAGAGAGGAGCACGTAAGCACAAATGGGTACGAGAGAGATCCCATGTGACCAGGAGCCTAAACCAGGATGTCAGTGTCCTAAGTCTAGCACCTAGCCTCCTGAACTGTGGAAAACTATATTCTGTTCCTTAGAGTCACCCACTTGTGTTATTTCTGCTACAGCAGCACCAGCTACCGAAGACAAGCCCTCCTACTAAAACTCACCCTCCAACCTCACTCCCATCAAGTCTATTCCAACTCAGTGCAACCCTAAAGGAGAGGCTTAAACGGCCCCGTGGGTATTAGAGATGGTAACTCTTCACATGACTAGAGAGTGTCATCCTTGCCCCTCAAAGCCCCTGATGATTTTGAACTTCTGCCCATACAGCTAGCAGACCAACGTGTAACCCACTACAGCCCCAGCACGCCCTAATACCTCATTAACAAGACCCAATTAATTCAGAAAATCTGTTGTATGACCACATCACTCTAGCAACAAATCTAACCTATTAAATTAGAATCTGCCTTCATCATATTATTTAAGCATAGCTTCCATTTTTCATTCTATTCCATTCAGAATATATTCAATTCAGTGTGTACAAATGAATAGCTTCTCACCAAAAATTTCCTCCAAAGAACATCCTAAAGTTATTTCTTTTTTTAAATTTTTGTAAAGTAACCAATAAATCAGGTCAAAGCTACTCAACTACAACTTCCTTTAAGAATACCAAACAATCCTCAAAGACCTGAGAGTCAAGGAGCTTGCCCCGTGGTTGCTTTCAGTCTCCATCTTCGTCCCGCCCCACCCCTAACTTCTCAAAGTGTTTAGGCTTTGAGAGTTTCATAAGCTCTGACCCACCAGCACCAAAGGGAATTTCATAAATGTCATTTTCTCTACAGATACAGAAGATACTTAAGAAACTTCCAGGATTCAAAGAAATCCATGTGTTGGGATTTAGGTAAGTAAAAGTCTGCCTCTTCTGAATTTTTCAATTATTTTCTCCCTATCTTCTTTACAAGCAGTACCAAGGGGAATCTAAGGACCCTTCTCCCACGACTGTTTAGCTATGCCAAGTCCTGGAGACTGAGCACGGCTCAGATCAAGGAATTGTCTGATTAGAACATGACTCTGGGTGGTTGTTAAGGAGTTACACTGGTGCTGCTTGTCTTTCCTTCTCGGAGTGTGAGAAACACTGTCTTCTGCTGCGTGCTCATCTGCTAGCCTTTGGCAAGGTTGTTATTAATGAGCCTCTTAGGAAAATACCTCAGTAGAGACAGAGCAATTAGTTACCTCAGTAGCTGAGCTCCTGGTTTCCTAATGACTGCAACTACCCTCATCATTTAAGCCAACCACACTACTGGAAGGAGGTTTCAAGACTGGAATGTACATATGTAAATATATTTATATAAGAGTGCAGGGAAACAGATCTACGTGCATATATTTATAGGTTTAGTATTAAGGCAGCAGATGGACATTGGGCCTCCACTCAGGCACTTTCTCAATGTGGTGAAGAAAGCTGATGGTGCCCAGTTATCGAAAGACATAGTGTCTGCAGTTTTAAAGGCATGAAGATAAGCAATCGGCCACCTAGCTGAGAAGCATCAAAGCCCACATGGAAAAAGCACACCAGTCTGTCTGACCACAAGGTGTAGAAGGGACCAGTTATCAGACATCAAAAAACTAAACATCATATCAGTGGGTGCCCACCTTCCTGATACGATCACTGAAGACAAATGTGTGCATCA